TTTGATGACATAAAAACAGTTGCGGACACTTTGTTAATATGGTCAATCAGTTTGGTCTTTTCGATTTTCAAAAACGATGGAAAACAATGATTTTAATGGTTATATTTTCGGGAAAGGCTAGATCAGTAGCAACTCGAGGTGTCATGGCCTCTGATTCTATTTTTGGAAAAAGGCAATTATTTTGATGACGTCACAAAGTTACGGATGCTCTGTGAATATGGTCGATTATTTTGGTCTTTTCAATTTCCAAAAAGGATGGAAAATAATGATTTTAATGGTTATATTTTCACTGAACAATCATCAAAACAGACGCCATGACACCTCCTCGAGTTGCTACTGATCTAGCCTTCCCCTTACAGACATGTGTAATACTGCAGACATCATCCCAATTGGCTGTGAAATCTGCCATCATTCTACTCAAATCAAATTGTGTAAGAGTGATACAGATGTTCTATAAAATGAAGATATCCAAGTTCACTCACACACACTTGTGTATATGAGTATATTATGTATGTCTATATATATATATATATATATATATATATATATATATATATGATACAATATAATATATAAATACAAAATATATATGATATACACAATATATATAGATATATATATATATATAGATATATATATATATATATTAAATATACATATATATATATATATTATAATAACATATATATATATATATATATATATATATATATATATATATATATATATATATTATGTATATATATTATATTTATATATATACATATATGTATATAATATATATATATATATATATATATATATATATATATATATATATATATATATATATATATATATATATATATGTATATACATATACATATACAGAGAGAGAGAGAGAAAAGAGACAGAGTCATATATTTCATGGTGCAGATTAGTGGCACCATATTACCTTTGGAGTAAGACCAAATAATGAATCTGCAATGTTTAGGTTTAGGTTGAGCCGCGAGTGAGGAAGTGGGTCAACTAATGATTACAGCTGATGACGCTTCCTTCTGCTAGTCAAAATGATTCGTCATGGTGAGGAAATGTTTGTGTAAAATTTCGCAAGTACCGAAATATGCAAATGAATAAATGTTACTGGCATATCTTATTTCTTCCGGGTGCGTTACGAAATTAAAAAGTGTATTGTTTTTTTTAAGTATACGGATTTTTTTTTTTTTCGTTATCAGTGTTTTACAGCTGGTCGTATTAGTTTTTTTTGTCTAACTTTCGCAATATGATTTATATAGGTAACAGTCAAAATATTAGAAAGATGCCAAAACAAAAATATCTATTAATGAAACTTAAAGAACCTGTGGATAGCCTAAAAAAAAAAAAAAAAAAAAAAAAAAAATACGCAGGCCTTACATTGAGGCAGTTGCTTAAACCAGAATTTGGATTAAGACATGTCACTTTTGTGTCAAAATACCAAAGGTAAAAATGTGGTCCCTGGGTTAATATATTTACCCTGTTTATCTGACTTTTAGTTATGGTCAAACTCGCCTTTACTCCGAATTGGCTTGAGGTTGTATTGTAGCTATAGTCTAGGCTCAGAGGATATAAAAGAGAACTGGTGATGATAAGCAATCAGATTTGAAAGTGACATGGCTAAAGATGCTTCCACCAGGGGAAGATATACATATATCTATATCTATCTATATATAGTTATATGGTGATTACCAAATACAGATGGATTTTTATCATTTATCTAACCTGTTTTGCGAAATTAGACATTTATATAGTGATTATGGGTATCATTTTCATATAAGTGCTCTAAAGTTTTCTAAGATATTAATGGTCTGCAATCATAACTTCCACTGATGACAAGCCCATGGAGTTGCCCAGGCTGCTTGGTTCAGTATTAGCTATTTCCTACTTAGAACAAACTCTACAACTTTTTTGGTGGCAGCGGTGGGATACGAGCAAAGACTTGAACACATGTTAGAATTGACATGCATCATTTTAACAAGAAATTTAAAGTTTCATTACCCATTCTTTCTTGAAAGGGGCAATGAGGATGGCTAGTGGACACCGATTGGACAGTACCGGATTCATTAGTCGAGATTACAAAGTAGATAATCTCATTTACAAGCTTCTGACTTGATATGGACAGGCGTAAATTGAGAAATGAAAAAGGCAGCCTACCAAATGTTGACCTCTCATGTAAGATGCTGTGTTCATGACAAAAAGGGTTATAAAAATAAACAAGGTAAATGGGTAATCTTATCTCTGGCAAAATTGCAAAAATGTTACATTCAAATTTTTGTATCACAAACCAAATAGCAAATTTTACTGGAACGTCTGAGATTTTTTTTCCATTCCTTTATCAAAATGAAACGATTAAAAGCCTCATCTAAAAGAGGCTAGTGCCAGAAACTAATTATTTTTGTTATTGGAACTGCGCATAAAGGCAAGACAGACATCTCTCACCCTGTTTGAAACAGTTTTTTTTTTGTCTTTCACACATACCCAGACTCATAACATTAAAAGTTAATCTGCTGGTTTGGCATGTTTACCATAAGGTCCTTAAATTTGACATTTTACTTCAGGGTTTGAAGAGGAGTTCATGCAGAAACGATGATATCTATGCGAATGGTTATCTCTAACCAATACCAAGTGACACTGTACAATGGACCATGTATTTTACAGGTTAAGCAGGTCATGTCAGTCTCACAGACCGTCCGTGAGGAATCATTGATTGATTTGGATGGTTTCTTGTGTGAGACATGATGGCCAAAGACCTTGATGGTTACCAAATAGTGATGTATTTCAGAAATACTTTAACTGATATTCAGAAAAGTTTGATGCAGGGAATCATAGAAAACTCCAAGGCTCTGAATACCATCCCCAAAAAATCTGAAATTTCGTTTATTACTTGTTTTCGCTTTACACATATTCTGTCAAAATTATTAGGGGGCTGAAGCCCTGCCTAGCCACACCTGTTCTGCCAGCCCTGTATAAGGACTTTGTTTTAGAAAATGACTACCACTCGGTATAGTTGCCAAACAGGAACGTAGTGGACTGAACAACTTTGAGACTGGTCTGAATAAGTGCTGAACAGTTTCATTGCTAGTTAGAAAATGAATACTGAAAAATGTAACTTGCATATCTCACGAACTATGATATGAATGGATGTCATATAAATCTTGCTCATTGAACCTCTAGAAAGAAGAAACTGACATCTCACTCTGGACTCGAGTACTCCGATTTGCAAAGTTTCTTTTTATTTTAAGCGGCTGATAATACTTATACTTATATACATTTTGTGTCTTGATAACTCAAGGTGTATTCGAACTTAGAGTCTGAGATCTATGTAGAATAGAATTATATGTATGAGTATATCACTGGGATAGATTGCATACAAATGTAAAGGTTATATTAACGATATTGTATAACTCATTAAAGAATGACCATTGTTCATCTCGAAATCCATTGTGACACATTAGCCTATCCCATTGATGCCTGTCTTCTCTTTTACAGCCAAAGGGGAATTCCATTCCATTATTTTTTCTGTCAGCTCAGGGAAGCTGAAAAATACTATATAGCAATAAGTGTATGAACGGTTACCATAGTAATGAATATCAGATACGTTGTTGCTCATAATTTCTATAGTAAGGCCTACCATTTCTCGCATTTACATCTGGCGATCATCACAAAAAATCTGAAGCCAGCCAGTAACTGTTTGATGGAGTGATAAACAGGAGTTGATTCAAAAGTAAAAACAATAAGATCGTTTTACAAAGGAAATGAGTTTACAGACCTCACCAAGCGACTCAAAGCAAAGGCGATTGAACTGGTGTGAGGAGACAAATAATTTATTTATGATAATTATTACATAAAGGATTGTTTGAAAAACAAAATTGCTCGCCTCAATTTCATATCATTATATCTAACAAAAATATAGATTTTTTAATAGCAATTGAAACACAAACCACCTTTACACAGGATCTCAAACTGATGACATTAACGGAAATAAAGAAATGGAAAAAGGCCAAGAAAACTAGACATTTTGAGTCACACGATATCAAAATTTAAAGATTACAGATTCACCTTGCAGGCTGTCCTAATCAAGGAATACAAATCCCATAGGAAGCACAGACTGATTCCTTCGACCAAAAACAATAAATCTGTTTAGAGGAAAGCCCAGCTGATTCTGTCTGACATTTATTTATACAATCAACCCACCATGACGAGAGAGTGCCGAGCAGTACCGAGGTCGTGGATCGAATTACTCTCCTGTTGACCAAAAGTCGAGTACTATTACAGATTTTTTTTTGGTCTCTACCCGAACCGAAGAAATAAAAAAACATGTTTCCGTGTGTTTGTGATTAATTGATTTGCATCCGTAAGTTCATATAGTGACTATATGTTTATGAGGGAATGGTCCCTATTTATCCACAAAGAAACATACATGGGTACAAATAAGCACGCACATCCAAATGTATTCATGGGTGTAGCAGCAGGTGGGGAAAGATGGAGGACCAGGCAGAAGATAAATGGATTAATATAACGATGATAGTGATGTTGCAAAAATGTATTTGCATATTCTCTTTCTCTCTCCTCTCCCCCCCTCTCTCTCTCTCTCTCACACACACACACACACACACACACACACACACACACACACACACACACACACACACACACACACACACACACACACACACACACACACACACACACACACACACACACACACACACACACACACACACACACACACACACACACGCACACACGTACACACACACACCAGCACTCGCGCGTACAAAGTCGAAATAAAACTCATTTTGATTTTGCGCATACACGCCTGTGTGCATGTGCTTGGATATGCATATGTATCAGTTGATATAAATCCGTGCATACGTTTATTTACTTATTTACAAAAGGTGGGTTGGAAGATAACAGACCGCCAGACCACAAGGAAAGATAAATTAACAGGAACGCCTCGAGAAAACGCACAATTAGGAGAGAGAGAGCAACGTATTATGGATGCAAATGCATTTACACGTTTGGACACTAAGCTGCCCCATCTGCCCCCCGTCACGTCGCAAAGTAACTTTAAATTTACCCCGCCCTCAGTGCGCACACTCTGCTCGGGACAGAGGACAGCCTGCCACCATTGCCAACATCCTGGAAGGGGAGGAGAGCTCAGCGAATTTCACTCTCTCCCTAGGATGCAGTGATTCCCGTGCTCGAGTGTTGATCGGGAGTGCCTTTGCTCTTGTGTGTGGAGGTCCTGGACGGTGAATCAAGGGCGTGACAAGGATTCCATTTGGCTTTTGACGGTTAAAGGAACAAACCAAGGGGGTTGGCAGTGGTCACACAGTATCATCTGGTGTAAACAAACCCGACAATGGACATGACACAAGATCAGGTGAGTTGCTAGGGCAATTTTTTGTCATTAGCGTGATTGTCTTTCTTTCGTCTACAGCTCAGAAGAATGATCTTCAGCTGAGAGAGAGCTGGGAATGACACGGAGCTGAGATAAACTATTGACGTTGATATGGATCATGTAACGTTTTTTTTTTAAAGAGGAATCTCCTGTGGCTTTGGACCGACGTAGGCCGTTGAGGGATCGCTTTCGACTGGCACCATCTCGCCTTGATGAAACTGAAAATCCTCTCTTTATGAGTTTGTTTTATGAGATGACAGGTCCCTTTATGTATAGTACTGGCATAGATGGCAACCTTGGTTAGGGTATAGCTTAGATTAAGTTTTGGAAAGGTGTAATTTCATTTTATCTCATCATTTCCTGGGGTGTAAAAAGGAAAGTAATGACAGTCATAGTGTGGCCATCAAAGATTTTTCATTTAATGATATGCTAAACAGATGAGATTAAGTTGTTTAGTCATGGTGTCATTTGAAAGTATTTAAGTATTTCCCAGAAGGTTCCTAAACCTTAGGGTAAATTTACAGCGGATAACAATCCGATTTTGAGTGAAAAAAGTTATTTAATGGTTACCTTGATTAAACTAAGATGCTTTTCATCTATGGCTAAAGGTGTGCATATCATGCAAGTGTCAATTGATTGGTACATATATTTTGACAAGGAAACTTAGAATTTAATAATGAAGTGCTATAGAGGTCTGCAAGCTTTTCTTACCAAAACATACAAGTTTGGAGTTTTATTGGCTGTGCAGATGCTCTAATGGGCAAAGAGAGTGCGGTTATGCAAACATAGGCTATTGTCAAACCTATTAGGTGCTAGTAACATTGGGATTTTACATGTCAAACAAAGTTTTTTGAGGTGGTATATTTTCTGGGTATTATATTTTGCTTTTATAATCAAGCTCGAAGCAAGGTGTAGCCTCCATTCACCTCGGTGTTTTAACAAAGGCTAATAAACCTCTGTTATGTGTATTCCATCAGTACAGAGTTTCTAAAACCCTGGTGATAGATTTTTTAACCCCTCCATGAACGTAGCTGCCATGGCTGTTATGGATCAAGTAGTGGTTGGCATCACATCACAACTGTTCCCGCACAGTCGACTCATCGGACAATGCTTGTTATTCCCTGATAGCTGGGCACAAATGGGAAACTGTAGATGCACGCCCACACTCCTATGTTAATGGCCTACGAACTATATTTTTAACCCAGAGTTATTGGGTTAATTTCTGTCTTATTAGAATAGAATTCACAGAGGTTTATATTTACATGGTGACTACCCTAAGTTAGGGGTTATCGAAGTTCAGTGTTATAAAGAAAGTGAAAAACTACACATTGATATAATCCGCACAGGACTAGAAAGATGTCAGAAATGAAGAAAATGACTTATGACAAATGCTGCGTTTAAACAAATTTTACATCAGTCAGGTAGTGGTCCTTGGGCAGAACCCCTTTATAGAGAATATGGTGATCAGGTAGGGGTTGGAAGGCAATGCCCTGGTTAGGAAGATTCTTGGTTCATACTCTGGTAGTGGTGGATTCTCTCAAGTGCCCCAAGGTTGTTGGCTAGAGTAATAATTTTAGAGGACTGCTGTCATTTAATAAACTGTCAATCCACTAGTGACGGCATATTTTGAAGTAAAAAATAAAGGTTTCCGGGCGGCTTCAAAGTCAGAGTGGGGCTGGCCCAGAATCTGCCTGCGCGCCGGCTGCGGCCCCTGGCCGTGTTTATTTTTCCAGGTGTCACATATGTGTGACACCCCTTGTAAATGAGTTAATTTCAACAATCTAAGTTGCCATGACTGGTTGTGCCCTTTGGGCCATGCTCAAGGGAAGGGTTGATGGGGAGCTCAGTCCCTCAACACCCTCCAACAAACATTGTCTTTTCTTCGATATGCAGGACATGGTAGAGCTGAAACTAGGGAGCACTGAGTGGACTTCGGCCATGAGTTGCACTTTCTGTTATCTTTTTTACTTTATATATGGTGTCACAGTTCATGTCCGTAGATTATTTCTTGTACAATCAACTTCAACTTTTTGTCCTCTACAAGAATGCCATCTTCTGATTGCCTTAAGTTATTGCATCCATATAGAAAAATTAACCAAATTTGCGGTATTTGTGAAAGTTCTTTAGATGGTAATCATACTTTAGCCATATATCAAAGTTAACACTGCTAATTAAAATAAATATTTACATCATTATAGGCCTTATGATGATAATTTATTAAATATTACATTAAATGCAACATATTTTGATTATAATATTACACATTTGACATATGTAAATATAATGTGGTATGCCAATGTTTGTTGTCATTGCATCAACTGTGTAGGGGTACAGTGCCATTTGTATTTTTCAAATGAAAAATTATGATCGAAGCAAGAAACCGTTCAATCAGTGTTTGACAGCAAACCAAATGGGATCCCCAAGTTTTCCTTATCATTTCCAGTGTTACATTATCGTCAACATATTGTTGTCTGCATCTCATAAAGATAGTGGGACTCCTCCAGACTCATCTTATACTTTGGCAAGTCATAGACAAAAATGGACTCAAAAACACTTTGATGAGGAGTCATAGGCAAATTTGTGAAATCCAATGAAGGTATATTTACATTGATAACTATATAGAAAACTTTGAGGCTCTATTTGATTTACCGTCAATATTAATTCAGCCATTTCCTGTATTGTCAGAATATATTTGGCGGAGGTTTGTTGACCATTTCTAGAAGTACTGAGACCATAGTAGTACTTGGTACATACACCCACATAATTACATTACTTTGCTATTGATATTGTTTTATGTGTGATATCCTACTGTTTATGAAGTTGTAAGGAAATTTTTATTATCATTTCTACATACTATTAATATTACACAATGAACTGTAAATTAAGTTTGAAATAATACTTTTATACCATGATCTTTCCTTTATTTAGGACCGGCGGGTGAAGACCCTGCGACGAGAGTTAGAAGGATGGCGCGAGGTGTTATATGTTGGCCATTCCATTCTTGTGTGGGAGAAGCAGTACTACCCATTCATTTCCATCTCGGCAGTTACAGCACTTTTTCTGTAAGTTGTTGATTTCAGGAAGAGTTGGTTTACTATTCTTTTTAACAATGAATACAAACTGTACACTTGTAGATGTAATTATACACAGAAATTTCTGAAAATTCATTTGTTGCTGAATCAAGGATCGGTAATATTTTGTAAAGTAAGTCTTAGACGTGATAAATTATACAATGGCATTAGGCTAGATATGAACCCTAATACTCCGTCCAGTCTCAGGAAACAAAAAAGTAGGCAACTCCTAAGTGCCAAGCCTCTTTTGTGAAGTAATGAAAGACTATGGAAGGCAGTAAATACCAGTAAAAAAAAAGAATGTTTAGAAAATAAGACATGTAAAAAATGCTATTATATTTGTATACATTTTTTTACAAGAGAGTGAATTAGAATATACTTGATTCCAGTGTAAGTGGACTGTTTTTTCTTTCCTGAAATTGGAAAAACTATTTCATCACATTTTACAATTTTGATATATTGATTGTTAAAAAATTCCTTTATTGAAATTATGTACAAGAATCATGTTCCATCCCCTTTTGTCATCTTAATGTATCTTATAGTATTGTATGGCTGATAGTATTATTGAATATTAATTTTACAGGATGATATGGTATCTGGAACCCTCAATGTTGACACTTCTCTCCGTTCTGGGCATCACAGTAACATTGTGTGACTATCTAGTACCGCAGGTAAGTTATGATTCATATTGATGTCTTATTGGTAGTTTAAAGCAGTTGTTTTAATTCTGATCATTATTCAAACTAAATTTTCGTATCTATTTGTAATGCACACATGTAAAATTGATGAGGTGGATGAGGATGAGGAGTAGGAGGAAAGGCAAATTGAAAGAGCGAGGTGGAAGAGGAAAAGGATAAAAAGATGCTGATGCTGATAAGAAAAGAAAGTAGATGAAATATACAAATATAGTCCTGAATATTGTTGTCATTTATTTTAGTCACAAATAACAATTTGAGTGTTCTCAGTTTCTTTTTGTTATCAATTGTAAATATAATTAGATGTCACTTTTATATCCTGAACATGAGTTGGTTGCCTCATTGTTATCTATATTGACATGTAGATAAGTAAAGGGATGTTTCTAGATACTGTAGGCTAAACTGGTCAGGTCTCAACATAAAATTACGATCAGTTACTTTTATGAATATAAGTTTTGGGCAGATCCAGCAATCATTATATCTTTCTTCCTTTCTATCTTTCTATAAATCATATGATATATGACTTTCATTGGAAAACGCCTCTTGAATATGCTAAGGGAAGTACCAGTTGAAGATTTTAAGTAATAATCAAGCAGGAAATGTCTTATTTAAATCAACAATACAGTATAAAACATTATTGCCAACTTTACAGATAACATATCTTCTGAGCTATTAAAGACCTTGTATTTTTTTCAAAAGTAGATTTTTTTATAGATAACATTAAGCTTATTTTCTGCGACTGAAGTGGCATCGCTTGTGGTCTTTAGAGTGCCCTTTTTTCGGGGGGGGGGGGTAGCGGACATGACTTACTTTGAAGAAATAAGTACGTTTTTTAAAATTTATATATATATATATACTTTTTGATTGATAAACACTTAAATTGATGCATGTATTTTTATTGTTATCATCAAGTAGTTGACTCCTGGGTTAAATATTATTATTTTTATTGTTTGCACATACCACGAATTTAGAGTTATACTATATAGCCTACATACAGAGACCACAAATTTAGAGTAATACTATGAGTAATGAGGCTGTAAGACAGAAAATGAATGTATTGTAGATATTTATGCATAAATATATAGACACATTAGTTATTCTTCCTCATGTTTTGTTTTTCAGATTGTCCCGTGGATTGTGGGAGCACATTATTGGACTGGAACACATGAACGACGCTATGAACAGATCATCACCTCGGTTGCCTCACTGTGTGGATTGGCCTCATATGTGTCTAATACTTTAGCCTCCATGAAGGAGTCAAAGCCCAGAACAGTACGTTTCTTCGTACATTTTTTTTCTGATTTCATTTCATTATGGCATTTTGAATAAATTTTTTAGATTTGTAAATTGATCCATTTTCTTTGGATATCTTTATTCATATATGATGTGCTAATGTCATAAATACAAGTAGTCTGTAAGTATGAAATTTAATTCCAAGTAACTGATATGACAATGGTCTATTTGCAGTATTTTGTGATGGTGACAGGAAGTCTCATAGTTAGTGCATGGATCGGCAGCACTATAAATAACCTGCTTCTTACTTATCTCATCAGTAAGTAGTTATGCCGTACTATGATGTTTTTTTATAAGGTTTTTTATTTTGTATTTTGTGTTTTCTTTTAGTAAGATATAATTTGTCCCTCATGTATGTTGCTTAAATTTGTACATGGAAGTGGTTGGTCAGGATACAATTTTAATCATATTCAAGGTAGGGGACACCTTTTAAGTGTAGGCAGTGTCTTCAGGAAAGTTTTTGATTTATTTGTATGATAAAGTGTAAAGATTCTCACAATATCCCAATGTAAACAGCTTTTAGCCCATTGATACTGGGTATATTCACTCTCTACTGTGGTTTGAGTTTGAAATTATTCTTATTATTGTCATTTTCATTATTTTTTTTCATTATCATTTTCATTATTTAATTTTTTATTATTAGTATTAGTATTATTTTTGCTGTAGTGATGATGATGAGGATGTGGACATGGCTTCTGTGTACATACCATTCTGGGATCAGTGGTTTAATGAAACTAAGCCACAGTGGGCAGTTGTGTTACATGCATACCCAGCATCAAGAGGTTGCAGCACTGACTTGTCTGTTGTTGATTGTGAGAGTATAATTAAAGTATACATTTCTTAAATTAGAGGGAGGGTTTCAGAATATAGAAACAGTCCCTGAAAGGCATAAGGAACAGCCTGGTAATGTCCACTGGCAGAGAGTTTAACAAGTTGAAACAGTAAATTTGTAAATGAATTTTACATCTGCATGGCATTATATAGTATGAGGAATATCTTGTACTATATTTATGTGTAGATGTAACTTCTTGAAATTACATGCCTGTAATTTCCTAATATTAATCCTTTTCTTTCAGTGCTAGTCTTAGTGTTACTACCAGGAATGAAGCATCATGGGATCTTACAAAAATATTTCTCAACGGGACTTCAAGCTATTGCCAACCTCATGAAGAGCTCTGTCGCAGCCATACACGGAGGAAAGAAGTCTGACGGGGACGCCAACAAGAAGAAGGACTAATACTTCTAAGAACCTTTCAAGTTTTTACCATTGTAGTTTTTGTTTTCCTTCTCTTTTTTTTGAAGTATTATTCAGGTATTACTCATGCTCTGTTGGTGATACTGAGAAAATTCCCAGGTTTATTTGTGTTGCAGCTTTCAATTGGAAAAAAAGATGCTCTCTAGCTGCAGGTTTTTATCAGTATATCTAGCATGTGCCCCACTACTTAAAAGAGTATATAATGCACTTCCATATGGTTAATGGTACCTAGGTTATGTTATGAAATGAACAATTGATGCAGCTTATTTTTTTATTTCTTTATGTAGAAAAGAAGAAAAATCCACTCAAGGAATATTCACATATTATATTAGGAAATGAGTAGGAAGGTACAGAACTATTTTTGATACCTTGATTTCTAGTAATTTAAAAGAGAGTGTAAAGTATTTTGGCTATTTTAGGCATGGATTATTATGTGGACCAAAGGTTGGCAAAATTTCTTGCCTATATAGACTATTTTAAGCTCCCCTCCCTGCAAATTATACTTTGACTTCTACCCAGTAGGCAACAAAATTATCCACATTGTATTTCATATTTTCATCTTGAAGTATTATAGCACTAACAATTTTCATTTCTATTTATACATCTGTTGAAATAATTTTTTTTCCACAGTAAACTAACTGAATAGATTAGAAATGATGTAAAATGCCATGACAAATATAGAGTATATGAACCTGCAATCTTCCTGTCTATGTAATATATATATTTTAGATGAGTGCACCATTACAGTTAGGAAAGGTATAGTTTCCATATAAACCCTCGGATGTTTATACATCATGTCGTTGACATCATTGCCAACCTTTGGTTTACACAAAATCATGTTCACATACAAGCATATGCATGTGTGTAATTTACACACACACACACACACACACACACACACACACACACACACACACACACACACACACACTCACTCACACTCACTCACTCACTCACTCACTCACTCACTCACTCACTCACTCACTCACTCACTCACTCACTCACTCACTCACTCACTCACTCTCTCTCTCTCTCTCTCTCTCTCTCTCTCTCTCTCTCTCTCTCTCTCTCTCTCTCTCTCTCTCTCTCTCTCTCTCTCTCTCTCTCTCTCTCTCTCTCTCTCTCTCTCTCTCTCTCTCTCTCTCTCTCTCTCTCTCTCTCCTCTCTCCTCTCTCCTCTCTCTCCCTCTCCTCTCTCCCTCTCTCCCTCTCCCCCTCTCCCTCTCTCCCCCTCTCCTCTCCCCTCTCCTCTCTCCCCTCTCCCCTCTCCCCTCCCCGTATCACCACACTACCATCACCACACTAAGTCTACTACTCTGCACAACACTCACATGCACATGAACATACATATGCACGCACTCACACATGCATGATTTAAAGAAAAGAGGAAATGATGTGCCACGGATGGAAAGAAAGTGATGTGCCAGGCAAGAAAAGAAAGAGTTAGGTTAGCTATTATGGTTATGACATAAAAAAACTTGTTTGAATCTGGTTGGAGAATCTCTTTTATTTCTCATAATTCTAGTTATAAGATGTATGTATGGGTATGTTTGAAAGTTTACAACGATTTTTAATGTTGCATGAACAAGCAAGGTGACGGAACGGATATTAACCTGGAGTACATTTTTATTTATTGGTTTTGTTACTGTCTGTTTTAAACTCTTCCAAGTTGTTCTTTTACTTTTTATTTATTTTGCTATTTTCCATGGTATAGCATTGTGTTTTTTGCTTGCCTTGATTTGGAATTGATGAGAGCAGTGAAAGGACACATTAGTATTTTTTTTGTTTTTTGTTTTTCCCTTGAATAGAAACAAAAAAAACAATTCTTGTTTCCTAGAGAATTATGTCAGTTTAGTATTGAGATGTAGTGGTTGTAGAGTTTAAGGTGTATAGTATCACACAGCAGAGAATGAAATAGTTCTTCTTTAAATGTGTGTTAGGTACTTTTATGCTTTATAGTCCAGCAATAATATTGTTGAAATATACATTTTTAAAACCAGACCCTTTGGAGAAGGCAAAATAGAACCCCCATGGCAAAAAGTTACTCAGTGCTGTCCTTGTGGGTTCATTGAGTGAAAATTGTTCATTATTTGTGACGTGTTTTCGGAGTTAGAATGATGAGTTTTTTATATCCATTTCACCATAACTTGTTTTTTCCATGTGTGAAGGAGAGGGGGCAGAAATGTTGGTCAGTTTATAAGGTTTTGTTCACTTTCATAATTTGCAAGAATAAGTTGCAGGATATTTACACTGATTGAATAAGATATCGACTTTTGGTCAGCTAGAACTGACTTTAAAGTTAGGATTATTTTAATTAGTATTAACTTCTGTAAGTTACTTGTATTGTAATATTAGATGTTCTGGCTATATGTAGAGCAACTTTGGTAAACCATATCTATCCTTATCTGGCTATCTCTTGTAAATACAGTGGAAATTACTCCTATTTCCTAATAAAACCCATTCACAGATTTGCTATGCCAGCATTGATGTAGTTCACAGATGTTGTAGTTGGTTATAATGTGCTTCATACAACTAAATTAAGTACATAAAGTTTGTGATCATCATTTATATGTCCTATAATAGAAATATTTTATCTCAATATGCAGGGAGTATTCCTCTGTCAAGGATGCCATCTGTGGAAGGGTCAAAAGGATGTTATTACAGGATAAGGAATGCAGAGCTTAAGGAAAATTGTCTAATGTAACGATTTTCTTGTGAACTTCTTATAGTTCAAAATAGCATTTTAACTTTGCAGTTATATATCCACACACACACATACACACATATACATGCACACATATACAATCACGCATTTACATGCACACATGTACATTTACATGTACACACACACACACACATGTACACACACACATACACACACACACATTGTACACATACACACACATGTATACACACACATGTACACACACATATACACACACATGTACACACACATGTACACACACATGTACACACACACACATGTACACACACATGTACACACATGTACACACACACACACACACATGTACACACACCACACACACATGTACACATACACATGTATACACACACACACACATGTACACACATGTACACACACACACACACACACACACACACACACACACACACACACACACACACACACACACACACACACACACACACACACACACACACACACACACACACACACACACACACACACACACACACACACACACACACACACACACATGACATTTTTTTATATTAAAACAAGCTTGGTCTTGTCATAGTTTGAACTACATTATTTTTTTGTAGTGAATTATTTTTGCATGTGAAACAAGTGAACAAAGAAATGAAATTGGGTTGCATTTTTTAGACAGGGTTATAAAAATGGGATAGATGCAGAATTTTGTGTATTTGTCACAAAATTAGTTGTGCTGCTTTCATGTTCCTTTGTGGGTGAATCAAGACTTGTAATGAATGATGAAAACGTGATTTGAACTTGAAAGTCATTCTTTTCTGTTGGTTCGGTGATAGATGCCATGTTTCAATATTCCTACGTGTTTCCTTCACAAACATTTAGTAACAAAGGATTTGTTGTAGTGATGTTATTACTGAAATTCATTTTTCATTATTTTATTTTACAGTATGACTAATGTTTGTGACAAAGTACCACAACATCAACAGCATTGACATGCTACTAGTCTTACATCAGTACCCATTACCACTGCTGTTACTTTGCAGCTACAATGACTGTGCATCAGCACTTAAAACTATAATACAACTGTAACTGCTCTTTAGTTGCCATGCATCTTTTAGCTACTGTACAACTAAAACTATACAACTACAACTACCATACAACTGTAATTTTTCTCAGAAAACATATTTTACAAAGTCTTTAAATGCATTAAAGGTATATACATTATATTAAATAACTTTGAGTTGAAATTTCATCCATGAGGAGGATGCATTAAGAGACTGCAAAATTTGAAAAAGATAAGCAGGTTTATGTGAATTTACTCAGTTTTTATGTAGTGATCACCTCTCTGTTGGTGTAAATAAATGTAGTAATTTAAAATTGGTAAGCAGATGTAGAGTAAAGAGAATTTAGGAAATCGAGTTCTCCTAACATCCTTAATTGTCACAATTTTTGCTGTGAAAGTTTATCTTTGGCCAAGGTAACTTTGTATTGTTAGAATTGGATGCTTAGTTGATAGTAACTCAAGATTTGCTTTTATGTTGAAGTACAGAAGCATTGCAGTTACGTTTGGCGTCTTTGGGACTTAAGTGACAAATGCTCATGGGTGAATTTTTAACATGCTGAAGATGATTGAATCGGAATGCTTTCAATGTTCTTAGGTCGTCGTTTTCTTTTTCTTTCTTTTTCTTCCTTTTCAACTTTCTTTTTTTCCTTTTTTCTGACAGTATATTGAAGAACTACACTGAAGGCTATTTAAATTCCTAGTGTAGCTTGTATAACTGTCTGTACACTACAGTTATTGCAGGGACCGTTTCAGGAAGTCTTCAACTACTGAGTAATGAATGCTAAATCAAACTGAGTGTCTCATTTGTAGTGGCTGTAGTATTTACATTTGTTTCAGTAATGTAAGGCAGATTAATATATTAGATAATGCAATTGTTAATGTAAAATACAAGCTATTTAATTTAATTTGAATTGATTAAAGTTTGGTAAAGTTATTTTACATTACATAACAGTTCTAAGGGTAGCATTGTATCAGTTGACTTACAGTGACATATGTTAGAAATGGGACGGCAGCTCTTTATGTACACAAAAGAAAGATGAATAGCTTTGTCTTGTAAGAAGCTATTTATTAGTGTTCAGTGCAAACTTTTTCACTTCACCTACAAACTGCTCAAGTTGATATTCTTGCACCTACCCTACATGCGCAGTATATGGATAGCACAGAATGCAAAATGAGCTCTGCATTTTAAGAAGTATATTGCAGATTTATACTAAACATCTTTGGATGTATATTGCTGTTAACTGGTTAATGGTATCAAGACTTACTTTAAAGAGAATAACTATAGTATTTACTCTTTTCATAATACATTTTATATGTTTATATATACACAATGTATTTCAAATGATATGGTAATAAGTGTTTTGTCTTTCATTTTGTGAAGAGTCATATATGTATTGTTTGGATGTGTCAAAGGTTCCCTCTAGTTGCTAAAGGTCACATAGTAGCCCTGTTGAATTATATTTACTGTAAGTCCTTTGCATCATGTGACCTTAAATGCTAGTGCAGCTGAAAGTTCCGAAAGTGAATTAGAGGCAGGTGGTCTCCTTTGAAGTTAAGAAGTGGTTTGGTTTTCTTTTTATATTATGTATTGCCATGTACCTTATTTGTATATTGGGGCAACAATATGGCAATATGTATTGTATGATTTGCATTTGGTGGGTATTAGAGAGAACCTTTTTGTGTATCTTATTTAAACTTGGCAAAGCTTTATTTGAAACTGTGAATGGCATTTCCTTTTGCATTGATAATTTACTTCTGATGCTTGGAGTAAATCTCGCAAGTATCATTATTCCATGTACAGTATTTCTACTTTTTCAGGATATTTTATTTCTTGCATAAACTTGACAAAGTATGATGTGTTCCATGGATGTTATACAATTAATGAAGTTTATTTCTCTTGGCAAATGTTATATCAAAGGTATTATGGCAATAGTGTTTATCATAGTATACATATGATGTTAATGTAGTGAAGAATCTACACTGTAATGCTAAATATTTAAAAATGCTTATAAAATTCCATTATATGTTTTAAGCTGGAGAAATAAGCAGTCTGTCTCCAAATGAACTGTTAATTGCATTTGCCCCAAAAAGTAAATAGTGAATGAATGTGCTACGTGCTTATAAAAGCAAAACAGTATTTTAGCCTGGGTAGATGCAAACTACGTGGCTCTCTTCTTTCCATACTGCTAAAGTGCATTTGCTAAGCAGCTTAAGTGATATTAGAATTATTGATGGTGCTGCTGTATCATCATATTCTAATATTTGTAGATTTGAAGATGTAAACATTTTTCTTTATTGATCTATGTCCTATATAAGATTTATTTTACAGTTCTGATGAAGGAAATTGTAGATTAAATATATAGTCCTCCTAAGTATTGCTAGTCATTTTCAGTAACTGAACTGTTTCATATCTTTCCAAAGTTTGTGTATTATGATAATTGTAACAAATGTTAAAAAATAAAAGTGCATGCCTTTCTTAAGTTTCATTAACTATATTTACACACACGTATCCCTCCTAATACCATGCTCATTGTTATCATGGGGGAACTTAGGCGACAGAGACTGAGGCCCAATGTAGGAGATCACCTCTGCCTTGGGCCTCAGCCTCAACTAATTTTACTTGGTCTTTTCTTCTCCTCCTTTCCTCTTCTGTATCTTCTTCATTCCCTTGTTTTCCCATTTCTAAGGTGTGAGAGCTGTGCTGAAAGGATGAAAGGCTGGCTGTCACATAAACGGCCTCTGGAAGCCATGGGCACATTATGCCCTTGATTAATTGCCTAGCCCTTACCCCTTATGGAGACCCTGAGAGGTAGACAGTTCCTTTTCCCCATTTTATTCAGGCTATGGTAGGCAATCAAGGTGAAGTTCCTTGCCCAAGGGAACAATGCGCCGGCTGGTGACTCAAACTCTCGAACCTAGACTGTCGTGAGTTACTTGACAGTCAAAAAAAATTTGATGCTCTAACCACTCGGCTATTGCACCCTCTATTGGTACTTTTGACAAAGGCTTTAAATATTGCTGTTATAATTTTCATTAAAGTAATTCTCGTTAATATTGCAGGTTGTCTCCGCTGCTGCCCCTTGCCAAAGGCTTTAAATATTGCTGTTATAATTTTCATTAAAGTAATTCTCTTTAATATTGGTGTAATTGCTATTTTCTCATCGCTATCATCATTCTTTTAAATCTTATTTATTTTATTAATTATAGAATTTCATTTTTTTTTTCTTTTTTTTCTTGTTTTCTCTCATTCTCCTCTCGTGTTCTCTCTATATCAGTCTGTCTGTCTACCTATCCATCACTCTCTATTTATATATCTATTCCAATCTATCTACCAACCAATATCCTCATCACTCTCTGGCTTCGACCAATCATTGTTTCTTGATCTAATATTTTACACACTGGTAATGAACGTGATTTTGACAGTGGAAAAAAAGGGTCTGCTTTTCTTAGTTTACTGTAAAATCTTTTTCAGAATGGAAATGCTAGGCCTAAAATCTTTTATAACAATTTGCCTTGACCATGAAATGGAAACTAAATCAAAGGACTAGGCAATAATTAACCCCACCCTTCGAAGGTGGTTGTATAAAAGTCATTTTAAATGTCAATGCAAACCTATTAGAGACTGATAAACTATTCTAGCAAGTGCAAACATATATATATATATATATATATATATATATATATATATATATATATATATATATATATATATATATATATATATATATATATATATATATATGTGAGCCGCAAAACACACTTGCAATATGATAGCATTATGAAGTTGATAAACAGAGAATAAGAAAAGGGAAAAGAGAGAAAAAGGGAAACAGATACAGGTGAACGAATGTTGGGAATGGATGAAAACAGAAAGATTTAAAAAAGGGATCACACTTAGGATAAAAGATAGTGGTTATAACACTATTAACCATAATTACAGTTGTAATGATGATCGTATTGACGCAAAATATTGCAGTAGCTAAAATGTGATATTGAAATGATAAAAAATTTGAAATAAAAGAATTATAAATAAAAATGAAAATTAAAAAAAAAGTTGAAATAATAAAGTTATAGCAGGTAAAGAAAACATGGCTAAAACTTGGTTTTATAGCAACGAAATATAAACGAAATATTGAATTAAAGTTGATAATATACAAAAGGACCTGAAAATGCGATTTTCTATTATCGAAGATTGTCAATAATGGGCTTCACAGTTTCCCTTTAAGTTCTACCCATTTTCTATGATGATATTCCCAGGTTACTGTGGCCAGCCAACATAAGTAAAATAATAGTACCTAAAAGGAGCAAGGCACCGTGTATTGAAAAAGAATATAATACAGATAACTAAACACTATGTATTATATATATATATATATATATATAATATATATATATATATATATATATATATATATATATATATATATATTATATTATATATATATATATATATATATATATATATATATATATATATATATATATATATATATATATATATATATATATATATATACATATATATATATATATATATATATATATATATATATATATATATATATATATATATATATATATATATATATATATATATATTATATATATATATATATATATATATATATATATATATATATATATATATATATATATATATATATATATATATATATATATATATATATATATATATATATATTATATTAATATATATATATATATATATATATATATATATATAATATATATATAATATATATATATATATATATATATATATATATATATATAATATATATATATATATATATATATATATATATATATCTATGTATATGTATACACACACACGTACACAGAAATTTAATTAACCCACTTCGATAGGTCATGCACAGGTAACGTCATAGTTTTTTATTATATTATTTATGTTTTATTCTTGGGCATATCCAGGCCTGCAAAAGTGTTCCATGGCGAATGAGATTAAGGGAAGTATCTTAGATTGATGTTTTATTTACTACAGAATGTGTTTGAATGGTCCATAGAAAATTACGAAAACTTATTTGAAGTTCTACATAATTATTTTACTTATTGTGTATGAATAATTGAATATGAAGGTGTAAACTCATATATTCTTTTAAATGTAGTTAATATCAATGACAAAAAGTGTCATTTTCCAAATATTTAGAGAAGTGTGACGTCCGAAACCGGTGTCGATAGACGAAGGAAAAACTATGGTGGGAGTCGCTTAGACCTCGCACCTTTTCATCTGATTTCGATAGTTTTCCGTCGTTTGATTTGTTATTTTAAGATGTTAATAAGTAACACTGTATTTACCGTGTATTTATTGCTGTTTTCTTGTGCATAATCAGCATTTAATACAATAAATAAAAAACAGATTCGTCAATCCCAGTGCGATTTCTTGGAATAGGGATGGAGTCGAACCTTTGGGAACAGCGAAGAAAAAACGTTGGCAGTGTTGCTGTCGCGACCGGCCTGGGGACGTGTCGCGAATGAGAAGCACTCTCTAGTGTCGTAAGACAGTTTTAAGTGGAAATGAGGGCTTAAGTTTTAGTAGCAGGTAAAGAAAACATGGCTAAAAATTGGTTTTATTTGAGAACTAGAATTAGCCAGTTCAGTGGGTACAGTAGCACTTTTGTACATATACGACAGTATAGTAAAGCAAAATAAAACAAGAAAAGACAAAAAATATCGGTATTAAAGAATTGATGTTTTCCACTGAAAATTCCTTCTGTGGCGTTATGTAGCTTGTAGAATTTACCATCTGCTGTTTTGCTCCGCGCAGAAGAAAGCCACTGTGAACACACAAAGCACTAAGAAGCATAGTTGCACACATATTGTAACAATAATTTTGTGGCAATAAAAGAGAAATCATGACGGTGATTAGAAAAAAAACTATTAGCGGATAAAAATAGTTGAAAAATGAAATTAAATAATATAGGACAACGCCACAAACAGGAAGCTCTCTGTATGAAAATACACACCTCTCTCTACCTCTTTCTTTCAGACCCAAACAAGATAGATATACTTAAACGGATAAACTGAAATGCACCAAAATAAAACTTGCCTCGTATTCAAAAACATTTGGTTCGTTGTTGGTCAGCAGTTACCAGATGTTTCCAGATCGGCCACCGTGTCTTTTAGGGAAGCTCCACGTGTTTCTGGTAGTTTGAGGGTTACCCCGGCTGCTATTAGGGAAACTCCCCCGAAAATGACTTGCGGGAGCCAAGGACCAATGGAGCTCTGTGTTAATTGTTACATGTTAGTACGTGAATTGAATAAGTATTTAAGAATTGGCACATTTTTTAAAATTAAGTATTTTGAGTGAAATCATGACAATTTCATACAATGTGTCTGTGTATCTTTCTAAATCAAATTACTTTCAAATCATCGTTAAACAGATGTCACAGATAAGAGATTCCACCCTACCAGGGTATCTACTAAAAATGGAGCCGCCATAGATCCAACTTTGGCTACCATCGTCGCCGTTCCCATACCCCGCTGTCTCACTTCCGTTGGGAAAACTTCGCTTGCATACAAATAGATGATTTGATAAGCTGCAGTGATCGCCATTTTGCCCACCATCGTAAACACCATTCCGAGCCAACCTAAACCAGTATGAATTAGGGTATTTATATAACTTTTCCAATGTTTTTCTTTGGCCAGACGCCATATTCAAATTCGAAATACATTTTTTTTAGAAATTTAACGCTCTACCAAGACGTAACAAAAGTCCTCCATCATACATAACCACATAAAATATAATCGAACCTTATCCACAAAAAATCCATCGAACCATAACTGTATAGATTATCACCCAAATTAATCGAACCTTAAAGTTAATCATCGAAATTAATCGAACCCTGAACCACACGACAGAAATGAATCGAACTAACCCAGAGTCGTCACTCCGAGAGCCAGCAACGCTCCGGCAGTCGCCAAGAAGCAGAGGATACTCGACGGCTTCCTGCCCATCCTCTGCACCATAGGGATAGTAAGGGTGGAGCCGGGGAGTTCCATGACCCCGCTCAAGGTCATGTAGGCGAAGGGGTCGACGCCGAACTTGTCGCCACCGAGGGAGAGGCCGTAGTAAACCGTTCCGAGAACCAGGTAGTCGAGATACAAGGCCAGGGTTATGGTGCGGATCCTTCTTGTTCTGAGGGAAGGGCGTGGGTTGTAGCATGGAGATAGCGCATTGGGTATAGATATATATGCATAATAATGATGATGACGGTGACGATGTCGATGATGATGATGATGATGAGGAAGAGAAGAATAATGAAATAATGATGATGATACCAATAACTATGAAAGTACTACTACTACTAATACTACTACTACTACTACTACTACTACTAAGAAAAAAATCAAACAACTATATTTCTAAAAAAAAAAAAAAAACATAAACATCAAGAAAACCCAAATTAACATTCTCCTATATTTTTGCGGGGAAAAGGGCGTATCTAACCTGAACAACACAATAGATAGCGTCATTGGGTATAGATATAGGCCTATATGCATAATAATAATGATGATGATGACGATGACGGTGTCGATGATGGATGAGGAAGAGGAGGATAATAATGATAACAATAATGATGATAACAATAACTGATGAAAATAGCAATGATAATGTTGATAATGATACTGATAGTAATAATCATAATAGGAAAGGTTTTCAGGATAAGGGAAGATTAGTGACATGGACAACGATATTTTGTTTTCAATTGAATAGTATCTTTCTTTGGAAACAAATACTTATAGTAATGTTTTTAGAATAATAAAGTAGTAATGACATGATGGCATGAGGGATTAAAATATTGGCAATGATTATAATATTTATTGCGTTATTTTTTGTATTCATTATTTATTTATGATGCAGCCGAAATTATCAATAACAACAACAATAATGATGGTCATAAAAAAATTAATAATGATAATAAGGATAGTGATAATAATGATTATAATGATCACGATAATGATGACGGTAAAACAATAATAACAATGATAATGATATAATGACAATTATTAAAAAACAATAATGATGGCGATTGTGATAATAATTATGATAATGATTGCAATGATAATAGCAAAAATTAATTATTAGAATTTCTTCAACTCCTATATATGTATTCTGCAATGCCAAAAGAGGAGCAATTTTAAAATATCTTAACGTAGTTGACCCATTATTATTAATATTTATTTTATTTTATTAAATAGTTGTGTTAAAAATAAAAATGCCTCTTACATAGTCTGATAAAAATACTACTACTACTACTACTAACTCTACTATTACTGACTCTACAACTACTACTATTACTACATAAATTTACAACATTTCAAACAACTATGCTTCCGAAAAAACATCAAGAAAAAAAATCCAAAACATCATTCTCCTATATTTTCTTTGGGGGAAAAACGGCATATCTAACCTCAACAACACAACTGCTTCACTGACAAATCCTCTAAGACAAGAACACGGGCCTGATGAAAGGGCGTCACTCAATCTCCTTGTCTTTTGAGCCTGTATAAAAAAAAAAAATGTCTTGAATAATTAATTTAATAGATCTAATGAATTGTTAGAGTGATTGTTATGGAAAAAAATGCATGATGAAAATACACTGAGAATTGTGCGTGTTGTGTGCAGTCTCGGCCATATTTTATAAAGCTTGGCCTCGTATTAATGAGTAGAATTTATTTATTCGAATAAATATAAATCGAATAAAACTAAATTTATATATACACAAAATATATATGTATATATGCGTTTATAACATGTGCGTGTGCGTGTGCGCATGTGTGTACGTGTGGACGAAGGGGAAAGAGTCTACACCTAATACTGGCTCTATACCATTACCTCCTTCTGGATGTTCTCCATGATAACGTACAGCTCCTCCTCGGCTGGCATCGCGACCTTGTTCCAGCGACCAGCCTTTTGCAGGACCCGGAGAGCGTGCTGGTGGCGACCCCGCACGATCAGCCAGCGAGGGGATTCGTCGAGGAACCTGATCGCGTAGGAAATGGGCACTCACCATAATAAAACCGAAAAGGAAATTCTGTTGCAAATAACTACTCTCGCGTAGGAAATGTCCATCTATATCAAATTCCGAAAAGCGAACCAAAGGAAATATATCTAAATATAAAAAAATACATATATATATATATATATATATATATATATATATATATATATATATTATATATATATATATATATATAAAACAAAGAACAATTTTAAAAATCCAGAGAAAAAGAGCAAAACCTCTCACCACAAAACGGGAAGGAACAGGAACATCGGCAGAGAGAGAGTGAACATGAGCTCCCTCCAGTCCCGAAGGAGGTAGCCGAAGCCCCCCAGGAAGATGAGGGCGACGGTCCACGGCAGGAAGATCAGGATCCCCGTCGCGGCTCGGAAGCGGGGCTCGCACGTCTCCATGGCTGGTGTCAGGAGGGAAAAGAGTCTTGGTGGAGGGAAAAGGTGTGGTGTCAGGA